CTCAGATTCCACTCTGTGGCTGAGGGCTGGGAGGCAGCCTGTGAGCTCTACATTTGGAGGACACCAAAGCATCTGCATGCTAGGCCTGTAGGGAACAAAGAGCCCATGCCCTTTCTAACCTTGTAGCTCATGCTTTCTGTTCACAGAAAGAAGGCACAGGCCAGGTTCCAGGGAGAGAAGTTGAAGGGTGGGGGAATGGATGTTTACACAGCAAGCAAACTGTTAATGAGGGAATTGGCCTCAGGTGCAGTCACCAGGAAGGGCCGTTGGGTTGGAGAGGCCCAAGTCAGAGCCCGGCCCCTTAGCCAGGACAGCCTGGTACAATGGCCTATAATCTGTGAAAGGACAAGGGGCCAAAGGCCCCCGTGGATATCCTGAGGGAAATGAAGCTTGACTGAGGAGTTCTGCTCTCGATGAGGTCTGCCCAATAACGAGGCTAAGCCCTGCAACTTCCCCAGCCCAGGTCCTTGCCCTGTGGAGATTCAATGTCATAAAGCTGGAGCCATGGTTGCCTACCTCTTCAGGTAGATGCAGTACCCCTTCTCTCATCAACCTCCTCCTCCTCTGCTCTTCCAAACTGAAACTGTCCCTTCACCATTTTTCCCTGAATTTTTCACCATTGTTCCTCCACTGTCCTCCACTTCCCTCCTCTTCCCTCTGTCTACCCAATTCTCCCCTCCCTGACATCCTCCTCGCGCCCCAATCAGTCTTTGCCCTTTATCCAAGTGGCCCTGGAGAGTAATAATCTAAGTCCAAGCATCTTCTCCCTCTTTCTTCATAAAAATCTATTTCTATCTTTCCTTCCCAACCCTACCACCAGTCTCTACACTGCCCCAAGGCCTTCAGGATCCTTGCCCTTGTTGGCTGGCTTTCCCTATCATGATCCTCATCATCGCTCAGGTTGAGGAGTTTGCTTTGGTCAAAGACACATCTGCTCACTTCATTCCTCCTTCAGGCCCCAGGCAGAAATGTCTCCCCACCCCACTCCCTACCCCAGGAATGACCTCCCTCTGGTCTGCTTCACCAGCTCCCCAGCCCATCCTCCCAGAGAGCTTTATACAATAACCACCAAGCTTTGATGGCTCCATTACTCAGCACTTAATATGCAGCTGGTATTCATTTCATTCATTCAACAAATATTTATTGAACACCTACTATGTGGCAAGCCCTTGGAATATATCCCAAACATTTGTACCCATTGGTGTGTTGCAAGGTTTGCAGTTTTGTTCATGATCTGGGTGTATATCCAGCTTTTTCCTTAAAACTGGAAACTCCTCACAAAAAATGGTGAGCACCCCTCCATCCTCTGGTCTTAAACACTGAGAACACTCTAAAGGGCCCAGAAGAGGGCACCGGAGGGAGGGGATTAGTGAGTGTGTATGTGTTAATGTGTCATATGCAAACACCATCTACTGTTTGACACATTTAATGATGGCGGACGGTGGGTAGATGGGAATGCAATGAGAGAAACTCATCTTTTCATTGGGTCAAAACACACCAGGCTCTGAGTGCCAGCTCTGCCACTAACCACACAACCTGAGCCTGTCTTTTAACCTCCTGAGGCCTCAGTGTCCTCCTCTGTAAAACTAGAATAACAGCACCTGCTTCAGAGGGCAATTATAAAAATTAAATGCATGAATGCATATTGGGCTCTTAGTATAGTATCCAGTATGAAGCAAGGTGAACAACAAGAGATGTTATTATCTTTTAGGTTTTGAATAATATTCATAAAATAGTTTCTACACCAAGTATGTACTACTTGCATAGCTTTATTTTTAATAACCATATACCCTAGAAAAATTCTTGCACAATTATACTAGAAAACATGGGAAGTTCATGGCAGCTCATTTTAGAATACAAGCTCTAGAAACAACTGCGAGCCCATTCAGGGTAGAAAGATGAATAAACTGAGTACTAATGAAATGAACACTATACAGCTATAGGAAGGAACACTGAACAAAAGAAACCAAACATGAAAGAACGCATGCAATATGATCCCATTTATATGATGTTTAAAAACGAGAAAATTAAGTAATATATGGTTGAATATTAAAACTCTAAAAAAAAGCAAAGGAATGATTTAACACAAAATCCCAGAGAGGAGCCATCCCTATGCCAGAAAGGAAGGGGGTACAGTCAGTGAGGTTCACAGGGAGGTCCTAAGTTACACACCTCTTGTAGTTCTTCCACCTATACAATCTTTTGTGTGTGTGACATATTTCACAATAAAAACCATTTTAACTTTCATAAAGCTCACATTGCCGGAGCCAAGACCATAGAGTGGTGATTCTGCTGACTCCTCCCCCGAAAAAAGTTTTTCACTCAAAGGAAACATGCAGGTTGAATGTCCCTTCAGGTCTTCAAAAATTAGCAACAACTTGTAATGCTTGAATTTAATAAAATGATGCCACACTTGAATTTTATTTCTATCTGGTTTTCAATTTATTCTTGCTTTTTAAAAATTGCTTACCAAGTGTCAGCCATTAGTAGTTGCCTCATGCTTATGCATGTCATTTTTATAAGGAGTTACACTGGTAGAAAAGGTAAAGTGAGTGTGAAATGCACCTTGACTCACTGCGCTTCTCCTCAGGACACCGAGCCAGCTGGCTTGCTGGGAGCGCCACTGCCCACTGTGGGCAGTGCCCAGGATTGGGGAGGAGATTATAAAGGGCCTCAGAAGTGCTGTCCAGCTCCCCAAACACATTAAGTGACAGCAGGTGCCACACCCTCCTCTGGGATGACCGAAGGGCTGACACAGTCTGTTACCCTATGTCTGTCCTGTCACAAGATCCCATTCCTGCATGTTTTGCACAGATACCCAGAGCCCGACTCCAGACAAACTCTATTTTCTTCTCCTTCCTTCCCTTTTCCCATCGACCCCGCCTCCTTCCTTTCCCCCTCCCCGAGCTGCTCTGCCTACCTTTGCCCCAAAGGCCCAGCAGCCACAGGAGGCTGCCAGGCAAGTCATCTCACTTCTCTGTTTGTCCCTCCCACTTATGCAAACTTCTTATTTTATGAGATAATTTTTCTAGACCTGCTCTGTTGGAATGAGGGTGCTTCATGGATAAATAGAACACAATGCAACCTATCATGGTTACTTACAATACACTATTAGTAAACAAATAATTAAAATGGTCACTTTCCACCACCACCGCCCCCCCCCTCGCCAGGCCTTAAATTCTTAGGCATAGGATCCTGCAGATCTAACCCATACTCCTCTCCGGTCCCCCGCCTCGCATTGCCCTTGTGCCACACTTACACCCCATTCTCCCCTCCTGGTTCTACCATTCCATCTCTCGCTGACTCTGCCCATCTTCCTTAGACTGATTCCCCAACCCTAAGCCCACAGATATTCCCTCCAGAACAACTCTCTCTACCCTCTTGATTTTCCAGGGATTAGGCAATCGAGGGTTGTCATAGCTTGCAGGTGAGAAGGCATGGTATCTCCTGAGCTCCACTACTTATAAGCTGGAGACTTTGAGCAAGTTATTTAGCTTCTATGAGCCTCAGTTTCCTCTTCTGTAAAATGGGGATAATGGTACATACTTCATATGATTGTGAGAATTAGAGATCATTTATAGCATGTAATGAAGGTAGGTGACTAATAAAAAGAAAATATCCTCTATTCAAAATATGTTTCCCTACAGAGTACTTTATGATTGCAATGGGGGAAATGCAGTGAAGCGATCTGATTTAGCATTACCAATAATAGAACAGTCTGACATTTTGTGCTTCTTGGCTGATGCAGTAAGAGTTACATAGCATCGCTTATGAAGTATCCTGCCCCAAAATGTTTCAGTTAAACCTAGTCAAGACTCTAGACCAGTGTGATCCAATAGATGCTTGTGTGAGCGTGGAAATATTTTATATCCGTACTGTCCAATAACGTAGCCACTAGTCCTGTGTGACATGTGGCGAGTACAATTGAAACATTCAATTTTGAATTTATTTAATGTCAACTAATTTAAATAGCCACGTGTCTCTATTGGCTATCATACTGAACAGCCTCTAGAGTTAACTTCCAGTTTATAGAAAATACGAGGGCTACAGCCACAAGTTAAAGCACATTAAACCTAGTTTTACAAATTTGGGGGACAGTTGGGAAAATTGAAATGGAATAGTTAATGACACTTAGAAATTATTGTTCACTTTCTTGAATGTGAAAATGGTACTGTCTTTATTCTTAAGAAATGCATGCCCAAATATTTAAGGGTTACATGCCATGCTCCCTGTAACTGTCAAATAATTAGACCAACGTGAAAGGAAATATAACACTACGTTAACATCTGTCAAATCTAGGTATCAAGGTAAAACATCTCAGTGTGTTTGTTGTACTATTCTTTCAACTTTTCTATATTTGGAGAGTCTCATAATAAAACCTGGAAAAGACATCAAATTTTAATAATGCAGTAGCTGCTGCCATGGTAGGAACTCAGCATCCCACTGGACAATCCAGGAAGGGGGAAAAATCCAGCTTTGTGTTTTAGTGGTACTTTAGCCACTCCTGGAATGGAATTTAGACCTCAATCTTTCTGGGGTGTCCTCCCCACTCAATCCCCAACACACTCGCACAGGCCCCATCCTCCTTGCTTCTCCCAACATCTGGCCTCTTCCTCTCCTCCTGGGCCTGTTCTTCTCTCCCTTCCCCTCCCCTGCCCTGCCCTTCTCTCCTCAACACCTTCCGCTGAGTGCATGCCCTGCTGGCAGGACACTTTGAAGATGAAACATGCTGAGTCCCCCTGTGGCCCAGAGATTGGCTTCCTTTACACGGAGTCGGGTGCAGGCCACTCTACCACTAAAGCACATTCTAGAGAGGGGTTGGACCGGGCTAACCGCCCAAGCCCATAAAGCACAAATTGCCACAACTCCATCTGCATGGCCAAGCCCCTTTCCATTGGAGCATAAATAGGACTGGGGCACCTTGAGGTACACATTGGAGTTCCCACCAAGACTCCAGATCTCCCATCCTTTACTCTGCAACCCAAACCTCCAGAAGCACCATGACCTGTGGATCAGGATTCTGTGGCCAGACCTTCAGTTGCGTCTCGGCCTGTGGACCGCGGCCCGGCCGCTGCTGCATCACGGCCGCCCCCTACCGCGGCGTCTCCTGCTACCGTGGCCTCGCCCGCGGCTTTGGCAGCCAGAGCCTCTGCGGGGGCTTCCGCTCCGGCTCCTGCGGCCGCAGCTTCGGATACCGCTCTGGCGGCGTGTGCGGACCCAGCCCGCCCTGCATCACCACCGTGTCGGTCAACGAGAGCCTCCTCACGCCCCTCAACTTGGAGGTTGATCCCAACGCTCAGTGCGTGAAACATGAGGAGAAGGAGCAGATCAAGTGTCTCAACAGCAGGTTTGCTGCCTTCATCGACAAGGTGGGTGTCCTTGATCAGCCTTTTCCTGAACTTTCACTTCCTCTGCAAGGTACTGAAGGGACGGACAGGTCAAGAGGGGTGAGGTGTCCAGGTGAGCTCCCAGTCTGATGGAGGACAGGACACGGACAGACACAGAGCTGCATATGGGAGAGGCAGGGGCTCCTGATTGTTAGCACTGTTCCATAGATATATATATATACCTCTGTCCACACAGACAGGATCCCCACAGAGAGACAAGGACAAGGCTTGGAACTGAATCAGGGGGAGGAGGCCATACATGCACACAAGATACAAGAAATGCCCATGAGAAATAGGAGCAGGACCTCAGGAACATCTTTTGGAAGGTGTCTTCAATGGCACCTTTTCTGAAAATCACTCATGTTCACAACTCAGGCTAGCCACTAGAGGGGAATCAAAGCAAAACACCCTCTCATCAGCTCCCGACTACATGCCACCTGGACTCATCAAGTAGGGATAACACAGTTCACCTGAGAGCAGGAAGTGACCTTTCCAACCTGCTAGTTACCACCCCTAAAATGGAAAAACCAGATATGGATCATAATCAGGAAATCCAGAAGTGGGTTTGTCTTCACTACTTAACCCTGCCTAAGCTCTGCTGAGCTCAAGCTTTGAAAATTTACGTAAAGAACCCCCTGCATTGGCATAGCAGCACCAAGAGCCATCTCACCCCTCTTCCTACCCCAAATGGCAGGTGCGCTTCCTGGAGCAACAGAACAAGCTGCTAGAGACCAAGTGGCAGTTCTACCAGAACCGCAAGTGCTGCGAGAGCAACCTGGAGCCGCTGTTTGAGGGCTACATCGAGACGCTGAGGCGGGAGGCCGAGTGCGCGGAGGCCGACAGCGGGAGGCTGGCCTCAGAGCTCAACCACGTGCAGGAGGTGATGGAGGGCTACAAGAAGAAGTGAGTGCAGCGTCGCTGACTGTGACGTTGGGCACAGGAAATGCCTTAGCTTAAAGCCCACTGGATTAGACACGAGAAGAACTTCCAAGTAGGGGGAGCAGCCCTGCAGGCCAGCTTGGCAGGTGCAGCAGGGCCTTCTCACCTGAGCATTTGTTGTCCAGAGGCCCGCCTAAGAGTCGAGCTGATTCCCCCAGGAGACCTCTCCCTTTCTTCAGCCTTCTCTTCTCAGAGCCCGATCGCCCAGCGGCCGTCGCCTCTGCCATGTGGGGAGGGAGCCTCTGCTGTCTTCCAGGCCCCCTGCTCCCGACCTCCCACCTATAGTCCAGGGATCATGGATGTGAGATGAACCCCAGTGTCGCTCATGGCTGACATGTCCTGGGGCTCTGGGTGTGCTACTGCGTAGGGTGTGAAGCGCTGATGGGCTCTGGGACTCATAGGTCCCGCGCCTGAGCAGGGATGGACACCGAGGTGAGGGGAGGCAGGGGCTGCAGTGACCCAGAGTGGACGCCGTCCACTCCGAGCACGGGGCCGCGTGCTGAGGCCTTCTTTGCCTCCTGAGGTGACTTCAGAGCAGCTTTGGGACACAGGGCTATGAGGCTCCAGAAGATTAGCCCCATGGGCCCCTCAGTTCAGAGTGGAGACACCCCAAGTCCAACCGAAAGGACCCACAGGGCTGCCAGGGATCTGGCGGTGTTGGCAGGTACCTAACATTGCCTTCGCCAGAGTGAAGTGGAGGGGGCGTCGTGGGAGACCTGCCCTTCCCTGACCTCCCTCTCTGCCCCTTCGGCCTCAGGTATGAGGAGGAAGTGTCTCTCAGAGCAACAGCCGAGAATGAGTTTGTGGCTCTGAAGAAGGTGAGTAATGTGGTGTCTGGGAGCGCAGCCCCAAGGGAGCTCAGGATGACAGACTGATCTCAGAAAGACCCGGGGGGTCTGGGGGGGGGGGGGGGGGGGGGGCGTGGGCTCAACCTCCTGTGGCCTGCAGTGACCTTGCCAGGTCAGGTGGGGGATTCCCAGAGATGAGGGCGTGGGAGACACGTCCAGAGCTTCGACAAAGGGCAATAACCTTGGAATACCCACTAGCACCCTGTCCCGGGCAGGGGCATGGCTGGGTTGAGCTCTGGATGTGCTGCTGTGCCTCAGAGGTTGCGGTGTGTGGGTCCCGTGGAGGCCTGGCACCTTCAGTCCCTGTTGAGGGACAGTGTCCTGTCTAGGGCTGTGGGATGTCTGACGAGAAGGAGGGACAGAGACCCAGGGTGCGGGGGAGGAAGGGACAGAACCCGGAGTGGCCAGGTGGAGTCTGGGAGGAGAGCCGGGGGGACAGGGAGGAGTCAGGTGGCTGAGCGGGGGGAGTCTGGGCAGGTGTGCGGGAACAGGGTGAGTAACAGGGGAACTGGCAGGTAAGCTGTGTGAGGGGGGAAGGGGAAAGGCTGATGGCCCATCTCCAAGGCACGAAGGGGCTTGCTCTCAGAGGAGGTGGGGGGAAGTTTGAGGCCCATCCCAGGAAGGTCAGAGGGTATGGAGAAGGGAAGGGAATGGGAACACGGGGGCTCCTTCCCCGCAACCCAGCCTGCGTGAATGGGTGAGAAGAGAGAGGAGTTTGGGGTGAGGATCACCAGGGTAGGGGTCCTCTGAGCTCAAAGACCGCCCACCTTTCCAGGAGGTGGACTGCGCCTACCTGCGCAAGTCGGACCTGGAGGCCAATGCGGAGGCCCTGACCCAGGAGATCGACTTCCTGCGGCGACTGTATGAGGAGGTGAGGGGTTGTGTTCTGGGCAGACAGCTGGCAGCGGGCCTGGAGGAGAGGGCTTTGGCCTGAGGAGGGAGGTGGACAGGGTCTTGGATGAGGGGCAGGGGTCCATGAGGGTGTGGGGGCTGGAGACCAGGGAAGAGCTGAGAAGATTGGGTGCACACTGTTGTGGGCGATGCTGAGGCATAAACACGATGCCCCCTCCTCTCATGCCCCCAGGAGATCCGCGTCCTCCACGCCCACATCTCAGACACCTCAGTCGTCGTCAAGATGGACAACAGCAGGGACCTGAACATGGACTGCGTCATTGCCGAGATCAAGGCTCAGTATGACGACATCGCCACCCGCAGCCGGGCCGAGGCCGAGGCCTGGTACCGCACCAAGGTGGGTGGCACGGGACACCTGCCTCCTAGATATGGCAGCAGGAGGGAGAGGTGGGAGGTCAATTTTAGAAAAGGCTCCTTTTGTCTGGGGATTCTGGTCCCTAGCGATGGTAACAGAAGGGCAGGGAGCTCTCAGGTTGAGGGGGCAGAGCAGGGCTGCCATGGATGGTTGCACAGGCTGGGCACCGTACAGCCTGCACCGTCATCCACGCTGTCCTGAATGGGTGGGACATTACACGCTCCGCCTCTGCTTCCCCCCAGTGCGAGGAGATGAAGGCCACCGTGATCCGCCACGGGGAGACCCTGCGCCGCACCAAGGAGGAGATCAACGAGCTGAACCGCATGATCCAGAGGCTGACAGCCGAGGTCGAGAACGCCAAGTGCCAGGTACGGGTCATCTGCGCCCTAGATCGCCAGAGAGGCCAGGGGCCTAGACAGGGTCTCACAGGCCACATGTGCTCAATCTGGATCTCGCCATTTGTTCTCCAGCCCATTTGCAAAACTTAGGGTGCCAGGGTGTGTTCACTCAGAGGGACCCAGATAATGAAGTTGAGGGGCCTGTTCCGGGGGTGTTCCCAGCTGGCTGGGAGAGACAGGACACTCCCAGGAAATGGACAGAGAGACCCGGAGACCCTAACCCACCTTGTTCTCTTCTGGGTCCCCAGAACACCAAGCTGGAGACTGCAGTGACCCAGGCGGAGCAGCAGGGCGAGACGGCCGTCAGCGATGCCCGCTGCAAGCTGGCCGAGCTGGAGGCCGCCCTGCAGAAGGCCAAGCAGGACATGGCCTGCCTGCTCAAGGAGTACCAGGAGGTGATGAACTCCAAGCTGGGCCTGGACATCGAGATCGCCACCTACAGGCGCCTGCTGGAGGGCGAGGAGCACAGGTAGGGCCCTACCTCACTAAGCTGTCATTTTTGTTGCATAAACAATGGTCTCCTTTTTGCACGGCTGAGCAGGGATCCTGGGATAAACCTGTGGTTTATCACATTGGGGGTGGGATCAATTTGGAAGGGCTCCACTGAGACCTCTGCTTGTTCATTCTTGACTTGTGGGCTTCTCCCCAAAATTTGTGGAGCTTGCCTGCCACTCTGGTCAGGTCACTAATACTGCCGTTTTTCTCCTTTCTTCTCAGACTGTGTGAAGGTGTTGGGGCCGTGAATGTTTGTAAGTGACATAGCCCCTGTATGGGTGGATTTACTCTCCTCCTCTAAGGGATGACAGAGTCTGGAAGGAGTGATTTCACTGGGACCTAAATATAGAAGGGCTGGCATCCCAGCAGGAGGGGTTGGGACCAGACAGCAGAAAGACCACCGCTGTGGGACTGGATGGGCCTAGTGTTCTCAAGTAGAGATACCTGGGGAGGAGCATCGTCCGGGGATAGGATAACTTGCCCACAGAATATTGACTCGGGCTCTGGGGTTGGCAGGTGTCAGCAGCTCCCGTGGCGGAGTCGTCTGTGGGGACCTCTGCACGTCAGGCTCCAGGCCAGTGACAGGCAATGCCTGCAGCGCCCCTTGCAGCGGGAACCTGGCAGTTAACACAGGAATGTGCGCTCCCTGCGGCCCTTGCGGCCCCTGCAATTCCATCACCTCTTGCGGTCTGGGCACCTGTGGTGTGGGCTCCTGCGGCATCAGCTCCTATGGCGTGGGCTCCTGTGCCAGCAGCTGTCGCAGATGTTAGGCACCCCCGCTCAAGCCCCAACCCGGTGTCTCTCCCACCTAGTACGGCCTGGTCCAGCCCTGAGGCGGAGCAAGCACTGGGTTACTTCTGCGCTTTGAAATGTGCGTCCTGCTCCTAGACTTTTATGTGTATCTGTGATCCCCTCTTCCTTGATCTTGCCCTCTCCCACCTACTCACCCCACCCTGTGCTGGGAAAGGCTACCCCAGAAAGAAGTCCCCTTAGTGCCCACAGGAAGGAAGCTCCATGGCAGGAAGGACCAGGACCAGGACCCTACCCTGGGCTGTCATGGAGCCAGTGGCCAGAGTCCCCCAGCCTCTCCCCTTCCTCTTCTGTTCACCTCTGTCTTGATCTGTGTTTCCAATAAATCAATGTAGCCAACACTGGGCCTTGTCTCCACCTGTTATCTTAAAGGTCACCTGTTATCTTAAAGGGTTGGGGTTTGGGAGGGTCTTGAAAGTCACATGGAGCAGAAAAAGGCTTAGTCTGGGGTTCCAGTACAGTCCTCTGTCCCTGGGCTCACAGCAGTCTCAGATTTAGCCAAGGGTTGTGCTAGGCCTGCACACAATACAATTTACACAACCTTATTGATTTTATCCACATCACCTTTTATGATACCTCTTGAAGATGAATAAACCAGAGCTCAGAGATGCTCAGAAATTGGGCTATGCTAAGTTCCATGTACAGCTGGGGTTTGAACCCGTGTGCACCTCTGGTGCTCATTTTACCAAACCACAGCTGCCTCCCAGAAACAATCCCTGTGCACCCCTATGAGCTGATGGGTAAGGAAAATGAGGTCCTCCAATCCCTCAAAGCCTAAGGAAAATCACTCACTGCTGTGGCAGGGAAGACTCATGCCTAAGTAATTTATTAGACTTCTTTAAGAGATAAATATATGAACATGACTTAAACTTTCAAAAAGCCTTTGATATGGCGACTTGTTTTTTAAAGGAGTCCCTTTGAGGTTTGGAGGCCTGCCATAGCTGATAAATTACCTCAAAAACAGAAAACAGAACCTAACAAGAAGATGATGTGGCAGAGAGGTGAGCACGCAGACTCTGGGGCCAGACTTCCTGGGCCCCAAACTGGGCTCTGTTCCTTCCTCACTGAGTGACCTTGGACAATTTACTTACCCTTTCTGTGCCTCAGTTTCCACATCTCTAGTGAGAATGATAAAAAGAGCACCTATCTCAGGGTGGATAGATTAAGGAATTTCATATATGTAAAATGCTTAGACAGTGCCTAACACAAAACAGTCACAGTGTGTTTATCGTTAGTTTTTTTATTTGTTTTTGTTGTTGTTGTTGTTGTTGTTGTTGTTGTTGTTTTTGGCAGGATGTAAAGTAGACACCCCTCCAGAGATCGGGGCCTTGGCCAGCCTCTCATTACACTTACATCTGTGATCAGAGATTGCAAGTACAGAGAGAAACCTCCATGTCTTCCAAAGTCATTGAGCTTCTTCATTCAGAGAACTGTCCCCTTCCACGTCCCCACTCTGACACTGATGAGGATCTTACAAGTGGTGGTGGGAGTGGGGAGACAGCCCCTTAGCTTCACTCTGGGCCAAGGCAAGTCCTTAAACATACATCTATATGGCAGGGTGAATCTCTAAATTTTCAGTCCCAGGCCCAGAAAACTATAGCAGAAATGTTAACCCCCATCTCTCAGGGCAACAGAAATAATTACTAAAACATGAGAGACCAGAAGTGAGTGGTCTGAAAACAGAAAGTCTCTTTTAAAGAATAGTATCAATCCCAGGTGCCCTGGCCACCAATGTGGCTCCTCCACTCTCCTGATGGAATTCTGAGCAGGACAGAGGACTGGGGGAGTTCCAGAGTGTTCAGTTGTCCTAACCAGCCCTCCATGCTATGATACCACACAGCTCAGAAGCAGGCCCTGTCAGGAGTCCAGGCCTGAGGCTCAAACAGAGACGCTAACACAGCCAAGTTGCATGCGACATATTTAAGTGCAATTAAGTGTGACACAGACATCCGTAGCCAACAGAGGGCTGACCCCTTGAGGTACCCAAAGCGATGACTGCACTGGTGACCACCTTCTTCCCTTCAGAAGCCACCCCGACTCATAAAGCTTATAAATGGGCTAGTGAATGACTCTCCATAAATATACCAAGTAATTCTCTCCCACCCCAGGCTGGAATGTGGTCCATGGCCAGGGAGCCCACTCAGAGAATCAGTCCCCAAACTGCAAACATTGCTGGTGACCCAAGTGGCTCTGGCTCAGCAAGACACTCAAAGCTGCCCCAAGCTCCTGGGATCTCTTGGACTGATGTCAGGCTTGGGATTTAGAAAGGAAAAACACAGGTGACAACCAGTCTTCTGTGATGTGGGCTGCAGAAGGCTCACCAGAAATCCTGCCTACAACTCCTTAGGATGTTTCCTTCTGCACTTCCCACAAATGATCAGCGCAGCAGGAGCTGAAAAAAAACTAACCTTGAAAATCACAGAATGTCATTACCTAGCAAAATGTGAGGAACACAGAGCCCAACCAAAAAAGCTTGCAGAAGGGCAAGCTCTGCTCCCAGGAGCTGCTTTGCACTGGGAATGTTGCTAAGAGCGTTTACATAGTTGGTGTCGGTCAGTCTGGATCAAACGGGGCTGGTGCAGGAGTCCGGTGAGGCCATGTCTCCTACCCTTCAGGTAGGTGGCAGCCTGCCAGCCAAGTTTCCGTCCCATTCCTCTAGCATGAGATTGCTCTGTTTAACCAGGAAGGGAGCAATTTAGATACTTTTGGGCAGAGACCCAGGAACACACAGCAGACACTTTGGCACTGGTATACCTTAAAAGGTAAAGCCAGAGCCTCTGGCCAATGATGCACCTTAGCCCTACCCAGGGACTTAGAAAGCAGGAACCTTTGTTTCCCAGATGCGTTGATGATGTAACCTTTGTGCAATAGAAAAGAATGTGAGCTTCATGAATGGAGGCATCTCTCAGGCTGTGTGGCAAGGAAAGAGCTCAGAAACCTAGACCTTCACTGCTCACGCTACCCCCTCAAACTGGCCTATCTTCTGCCCCCTAAAGTCCAGTAACCTCGTTAAAAAAAAACACAAAACACATAGACCTGGAGTAGAGGCAGAACTGAAACCTCAGTCTGATTCCAAAGACCAGCTTTCTTCCACCATACTGTGTTGTTCCTAGCCCACCATTAGATGAATTGTTAAGCTAGGACTCAGGCCTGAGCCACCCAGTTGTGTTCATATCCCCCAGCTCCAGTCTGCGATGGTCCTCAAGTGCCCCTGCCTGGGCAGTAGAAGGCCCACCCTCATCCCTCGCCCACTCTATTCTCTTTCTGGTCTGCTTCCTTTTTTATGACCTGCCTCCCCACCTGACTGGCACCTCCAGAGAGCCAGGACTAGAGTGTTGTCTTGCTCGCCAAGCACCATGTCTGACTTTCAGAGGCCCTTGAGTAAGTGTTTGTAGAGTGAGTGAGTGGATGAATGAATGCACTTTCCAGCTCCTCTGCCAAGAAGAGCTAGGATGGGTGCTTCTTGGCAGTGCCCCCAACCCCAGACCTGGCCAGCTTTGTCTTCATTCTAGGAATAGCCTGAGGAATCCAGGTGCAAAGAGACTGGTGGCTCAGTCCACTGCAGAACATTTTTATTGCAAAGGAGTCGTCCCAGGAAAAGAGGGCCGGGGGCAGTTCAGAGGGGCAAAACTACACTCAGACTTGATGCTCCGGTGTGAGGGACAGGAGGGAGAGGTGAGCTGAAGGCAAGAACCATAGGAAGGGTGTCTGAGACCAAGTCTTTGGGGCAAATCTAGGGTTCTTCGACTTCTGAGCGGGTCAGGAAGTGTTCAACATCCACGGAAGCTTCTGCAGCTGAAATCCCCGACACAGCAGGAGGAGCCGCAGCGCGCGCAGCCGCCGCCAGGGGCACTCGTATCCAGGGTGTCAGAACCAGCTCGCAGCGGCCGCAGGGGGGCGGGGCCCGAGGCCGAGCCTGGCCGGCAGGTGGGATCGCTGCCCTGGGCTGATCAGAGAGCAGCTGCTGGAGAGGAGGATATCCCCTTCCCTCCCTCCGTCCCAGGAGACAGACATACAGACAGTTCCACCAGGAAGCAATGCAGAGACCCTCCCCACTAGAAGAGAGACGTACACATTCCCCAAAAGAATAGAAACAGACCCCCTTCCCCCAGCACACAGGAATACAAAGACCCCCAATAGAAGAAATAGCCCCTGGCAAAGGGAGGCAGAAGAAGCAGACCCCTTCTGCCTTCCTAAGAGGATATACACATGGAAGGAGGAATCAGATTTGGCCCCTTTCACTCAGTATACCCATGATTTACTTACTGAGGCTCCCTGCTCCCTGTCTCAGGCCAAGCCTGCAGGGAGGAGGAAACAGGTAAGTGCATCTATCTTCTAAGTGTAATAATGTACTTTCTCTAGGACAAAACACCCCTGGCCCTCTCCAGAAAGGCAGAAATCATTCCACCCTGCAAGCTCCTTGGTTCTCTCAGATCCCCACAGGCTTTGGAGTAAATTTAAATAACTCACTTTCATTGATGACTTCTTGGAAGAGGAAGAAGGCAAAAGATCTATACTTTTGGGGGCCTAAACATCTTGAAAGGGAAGACCATGGGTGAGGGTGCATTTTAAAAGAGACTACAGAGAAAATAGATCAATTACCTGAAGAATATTGTTCAAGCCTCACTTAAGCCCTTCTACCTGTGCATCCTTGACCTAGTCCTTTTGCCCGCCCTGAGACTGTTTCCTCATCTGTGAGATGGAGATAAAAGCATCCCTCCCAGGACTTTTGTGGGTTTAAAGGAGATAATACATGTAGCATGCCTGCTGCATGGTGGGTCCACTCCCCCTCCCCCGGAAGCCCTGTGTCCCCAGCTGGATGCAACTGGCAGTCCTTGAGTCTCTTCTGCTGCCTGAGGGTAAAAACCAGGCCTTACTTGTTCCCAAAACCGCTTCCCCCAGGTTTTAGGAAGATGGGCAAAACTGAGGAGAAGGCACTTCACACTGAGACCTCATTCCCCCTGGCTGGACCTTGCAGCTGTCATGATGGACAAACTAGCCCCTGGTGTCTGACCCTGGTGGTGAGTGACTTTATGAGTTGCCCCAACCCAGGTATCATGGTGCTCATTAGCTGGGGTCTTTTGTCTTCAGGGCTGTTGAATAGTAGGAACAAACTGGCTCCAGGAAAACAAGTGCTTGGATACTCAGGTCACCTTTCCCCACCCCATCCCCAGCTGCTAAGGACCCAGGTGGTGACACCCCCCCACCCCACCCACGTGCTGTGCTATCTGAAGCACCATCCAGCCCCTACCTGCTCTCCTCGTCCTCCAACAGCTTGCGGTAGGTGGCGATCTCAAAGTCCAGGCCCAGCTTGACGATCATGAGATCCTGGTACTCCCGCAGCTGCCGCACCATGTCCTGCTTGGCCCGCTGCAGGGCGGCCTCCAGCCAGGCCAGCTTGCCCTTGGCACTGCCTGAGGCACCCTCCTCCTGCAGAGCTGGTGGGTGCTTGGCTCCTTCTAGCTTGCAGGGCTGGGGGTGAAGGGAAGGCCACAGAAGGACATCCTTGATCCTCACCCATTTCCCCTCAAGGATCTAGACCTTTTTCAGAGGCTGGAAGGCCAATGAGGATTATAGATCATTGTGTAGATTGATCATGCCTGTTGTGAAACGTGTGTGTGTGTGTGTGTCTGCCCTGCTACCAGGATGGAGATTTGAGACCAGCCCTCTGGGATGGCTGAGAAAAAGCCTTTTACATCGGTATAGTAACACTTCTAACATGAGCTCAGGTGCAAGAAGGATCAAATGCTCCTTAGCACAAAATGCTGACATTATTGTTTTATCAGGGAAACTAATAAGAAGGCTATCCTGTTCTCAGAGAAGACTAAAATTTGTAGACTTTGGGGAAAAATAATAATATAACTGCTTGCCTTGGTGAGGTGTGTTTGCTGCTTAGAAAACCAACAGAGGGGATCAGAGCAGCCATGGCTCGTGGGAGACTGCACCCCAACGTGCCTACCCTCTCACTCTACCACCTCTAGAACCTGAACAGCTCATCCTCTCAGGGTCATCAGCCCCTGGAGAAGCGCGAACCCCCACAAGTCTCCCTCAGTGCCTGAGACACTTGCCTTTACAAAAAACAAAAAAAGACCAAAGGAGAACCCCTTCCCTGGGCAGCGCAGAGGGTGAGCTGGCAGGGCTTGGCGGAGAGCGGAGAGCGTGCTGGGAGGAGAGAGAGGAGGCTGACAGGGAGATAAGTCAGGGAAAAGAAAGCATTCATGTGGGAACTCTCCTCTCTAAGGCTTAAAACCCGAGTCACCATCACAAATGCCTACAGAGGTATGGCTGGGGGCATCCAAAGGTAAAGGTCAAATATTAACTATATACAGCAGTATCCAGTTCCACAGAGAAATGTGCATGCTTTCATCATCCTGAAATCACCAGGACCTCTTTCATGTTTCCTGTCTTTCATTTCTCAGCCTGAGAGAGAGATGTAGCTATAGCACCTTTTCTCTTCTACAGGGATAATAGCAGAGCTAGCCAAGGTGAGTTAAATGGCAAAGAACCTTCTGCCTCGGTGTCTAAAGAGTCAGTCTGGAGTGGTGGGGGCTGTGGAACAGAACGAAACGCATCCCCCTGTGAAGGAGACAGAGGCCTCTCTCCTCTAGCCAAATGTTACCATGTGGGATCGTAGTTTCATATCACCAGATCCGCACATTTTTAAAGAGGACCCAGAAAACTGGATTTCTAGGTAAAATCTTGCAGTTTTTGAAGATGAGCTCAAATTTAATGCTACATAGGACAAACAAAACACACAGGCATGAAACTGTACATACACATAAAAAACAATATACAAACAAGCATACCTATTCATACATGTTTATCTACATGCTAATCACTTACCCACATGAACTATGGGGAGTTGTAGGCAAATGTAAGCATGGCATATACATATAGCCACACTCCTGTTTGCTCAGACATTTACAAAGAGAAGTTCTATTTCAAAGGATGGGGGTCTAGTCTAGTTGTCATAAGTAATGGACACACCTGAACCATCACCACTGTGTCCCCCCTACTCCCACCTCTCACCTGACTCTCAGCACTGTCCACCTCCACAGTTAGCTGCTGGATGGCCTGGTTAAGCCTGTTCAGCTCCTCCTTGCTGTGCCTCAGGCTCTGCATGTGTCTCTGTGTGGTCACATTTATCTCTTCACACTGGGGGTAGGGGCAGCAGAGTAAGGGGAGGATCGGGGAGACAAGGAGAGTAAATATGGACACAGCAAAACAGTTCCAGTACCCACCCATCTACCTGTTACCATGGATAGATCATCTAACTTTTCTGGGCCTCTGCTGCTCCATCTGTAAAATGGGGATGATAATATTTCCTGTCCACAAAGGTTGTTGGGAAAATGAAATGAGCTTAGGTGGCACCGCGGCGGGTGTTCCGCCAGGCCTGGAGATGCCAAAAGTAGCATGAACTCAGAGACAAGGGGCAACAATGCAGGGCAACAATCTACTGAGTTGAGATTTTGGACTGAGATCACATAGGGTTTATCCCAAGAATAGGGATCATCCCGGGTATACGGGTCAACTCTAGGAAACCGTCAGTCACCACTTATATCATCTAAATTAATACAAAAAGCATTTAACAAAATTCAATAATTTCTAATTTTAAACACCTAAGAATATGAATAAACATCCTTAATTTGATTAATGTTATTAATCAGAGATGGATCCAGAGTCCAGTTTCTCCTGCAAACCCAAGGGAAGGAGCCATAATCTGGGGGGGAAGGGCTGTCTACAAGAAACAAAATCAGGTGCTTTTCCTTTCCTGCGCCTTGTCTCCACAGACCAACGTACAAACAGCCCAGGCACAGTAAGTCACTCTAGCACAATGCCTTACACTCTTCAAAATCTTTTCCCTTTACCACCTCACTGGGGCTCACAACCACCTGTGAAGTAGGCCTGGTAGATGTTACTGTCTCCATTGTCTTTCCTAGGGCAAGCTGATGCTCATAACATCTACCGTGCTAGAAGTAGAGTGCAGAGGGACATGAATGACCAACCAGTCAGCAGCTGAACCAGATCAAATCTTAAGCCCATACTCTTTACTCTACTCTCTGGGGTAGATAAAGTCACACACCTCTTCCACCCAAAGAATAGGAACCGTTCACACCAGCTCAGTGCACATTTCTTTCTAGGGAAGATGAGGTTTGGGGAACAGATATGAATAGACTGAAAAATATCATTGCCCACCAATCTCTGCCTTATCCCCACCCCCACTTCCCACCCTTTCCTATTCCCATTCCCAAAAGCTATAGACACAGCAGGTAAGCTTGTCCCAGATGTGAGTGAAGTCCAAGACCCTTCATCCCGTGTGAGCCTATGAACCATGTAGAGAAGTCTTACCATGATGAACAGAGCTGTATGTAGTCTCCAAGCCTCTCGTGAGCACTGAGCTGAGCTCCAGCCCAAGGAGCTTCCAGAATCCTCAACTCTGATGACAAGGCCTCTCCTTCTTAGAGGATTTGTGACCTCACCTTGTTACAATTGCAGAGTTCTGACATGGAGTACAAGGGGGTCATTCTATGAGCTCAGATGGAAAAGTGGAGGTCCCTGGCCTGGAATAGGCCTAAAAAAGGAGATGCAAGGGGAAGACAGGGTAGTTCAGGTGGGAGAAATGTGTGGGGATGAGTTTGGGCTTATGTAGTGGGCAGTGGGGAGCCACAAAAGGTGTATGAGCGACCAGCCACATTGCTACCAGATAGGCAATTTGGGGAAGCCTATCTGGTACCAATAGGGAAGACAGACTAGGAGGGAAACTGGGACTGAGGATTCCAGTTTCAAGACTAGGTAGGAAATCTGGGGTTATGATTCTAAACTGAAGTAACCACAGGACTAGAGAGCACAAGCTGCTGTTGGCATTTCTTTTTGTTTATAAATTTCTCATACATGTAGAAAGATTATATATAACATATATGTAATAATTTAAGTGCAAAAATAATAAAGCAAATCTTTGTGTACCCACCAGTACCTCCAAAGCCCCCTGTGAGACCTTTCATCCCTGACCCTATCCAATCTCCAAAGTAACCACTATCCTGGGTTTTTGTGTTAAGCGTTCTTTTGCTTTTCTTTATTATTTTATCATGTGCGAATGAACCCCTAAGCAATCATTTAAGTTTGACTACTTTTATGCTTTAAACAAATAAAATTACTCTGTTTGTATGGTTCTATAACTTGCTTTCCCTCCTCAACATCCCATTTATGAGATTTGTCCATTAGTTTCTTTTTTGTTGTTGCACAGTATTCCAGTGTATGAATAATTCTCCATTCTCCTATGGGTGTGCATATGCATATTTTTGTTTTTGTTATAACAAAAAATGCTGCTATGACCTTTTTAGTACACATCTACTGGCGTACCTTGACAAAAGGTTTTTTAGGGGCCTATTAAATGTTTTTCACTTCTTCCTTAAAAAAATTATATTTTATTGATTTTGCTGTTATAGTTGTCCCAATTTTTACACCTTTGACCCCCTCCATCAGCACCCCCCACTTCCTCAGACAATCTCCACACCATTGTTCATGTCCCTGGGTTATGAATGTATAAGTTCTTTAGCTACTCCATTTCTTATACTGTACATTATATCCCCACGGCTATTCTGTAACTATTCATTTGTACTTCTCAATCTCCTTACCTCTACACCCCTTCCCTCACACTCCTCTCCCATCTGGCAACCATGAAAATACTCTCCATATCCATGATTCTGTCTCTGTTCTTCTTGTTAGTTTAGTTTGTTTTTTAGATTCAACTTTTGATAAATATGCATTTACTGCCATTTTATTGTTCACAGTTTTGATCTTCTTTTTTTTAAATAAGCCCCTTTAACTTTTCATATAATAATGGTTTGATGATGATGAACTCCTTAAGCTTTTTCTTATCTGGGAAGCTCTTTAACTTCTATTCTATTCTATTCTATTCTATTCTATTCTATTCTAAATGATAGTTTTGCTGGGTAGAGCAATCTTGGTTGTAGTCCTTGCTTTTCATCACTTTGAATATTCCTTGCCAATTCTTTCTGGCCTACAAAGTTTCTTTTGAGAAATCAGCTAACTGTCTTGTGGGAGCTCCCTCATAGGTAACTACCTGCTTTTCTCTTGCTGCTTTTAAGATTCTCTCTTTATCTTTAACCTTTGGCATTTTAATTATGATGTATTTTGGAGTGGGCCTCTTTGCAACCATCTTGTTTGGGATTCTCTGTGCTTCCTGAATTTGAATGTCTATTTCCTTCACCAAATAAGGGAAGTTTTCTTTCATTATTCTTTCAAATATATTTACAATTTCTCACTCTTTCTCTTTTCCTTCTGGTCCCCCTATGATGCAAATGTTGGAACTATCCTCATTTTTTTTTATTCCTTTTTCTTCTTCTTGTTCTGACTGGTTGTTTTTTGCTTCCTTATGTTCCAAGCCATTGATTGGATTCTTGGCTTCATCCACTTTACTGTTGTTTTCCTGTAAATTGTTCTTTATTTCAGTTAGTGTATCCTTCATTTCTGACTGGATCTTTTTATGCTGTTAAGGTCCTTACCAAGTTCCTTGAGCATCCTTATAACCAGTGTTTTGAACTCTGCATCTGATACATTGCTTATCTCCATTTTGTTTAGCTCTTTTTCTGGAGTTTTGATCTATTCTCTCACTTGGGCCATGTGTCTTTGTCTCCTCATTTTGGCAGCCTCCTTGTGTTTGTTTCTATGTATTAGGTAGAGTTTTTATGACTCCCTGTCTTAGTAGCATGGCCTAATGTAGTAGGTGTCCTATAGGGTCCAGTGGCACAGCCTCCCCTATCACCCAAGCTGGGGACTCAAGTTGTGCCCTTTGTGTGGGCTGAGTACACCCACCTCTTGCAGTTGAGCTTTGATTGCTGTTGACAGGTCAATGGGAAGGACTTACTCAGACCAGTCAGCTGCAAGGACTACCTGTGACCACTGATCACCAATCACCACCTCTCTGAAGGATCAGCTGTGCAGGGGAAGGGTGGCGGTGTGCCAGCATGGCCTGTAGCTCTCCACTGAGTGTGTAGGTTCTGGCATGTCCTGAGTGATGTGGGCCAAGGTCAGCCCCCACCTGCATTCTGCCTGGGACTGCCCAGCATGAGCTATAAAGCAATCTGAAATGGCTGCTGAATTGTGCCGGGCTTAAAGTTTCCCAGGCAAAGCCAACCTATGAACCTAGGCTGGCTGCAACTCGTGCCAGGCCTGGGGCCACTTAGCAAGAGGTATGGGCCCTGGGGGCTCACTGAGGCTGGCTGTTGCTTGCTTGAGAGGATTTAGGAACTTGTGGAGCATAAGCCAAGACCAGCCATTCATATGGAAAAGCCGTTATTAACAGCCTGGATGGGCCTGGAAGTTGGGTGGGACAGAGTCTCAGGGGATCTTCAGGGTGGGGCAAACAGTGTTAGCCTGATTGATGGATTCTCAGATATAGCACCCACCTGCAGGCTCTGTGGCTCTGTTGGGGGAGGGTTCAGAGAAAAGACAATGGCCTCTGCCCACTTTCCTGTCTGGGAGAAAACTGTCCCCCTGCCCTCACCTTGATGTTAGACACTTCAGTTCCTCCAGATATACCACTGGTGCCTTTCAGGCTGCTGCCGCAGTGCTGGAGCTCAGAGGGAGTGAGTCTGAGTAAGTATGTGTGTGGGATTTTTAAGAACTGCTTGGGACTCCAGAAGTTTCTTCCACCAACTGCTGGGTTTTGCAGCCAGAAGTTGTGGGGACTTATCTTCCTGGCACTGGGACCCTGGGCTGAGGGGCCTAGCATGGGGCTGGGACTCCTCACTTCTGAGATATCCCTCTCAAATTTTTATCCACCACACATGAACCAGCCCATTCCACATCTCCGCATCTCTTTGTCTCCTACCCAACTAGATGAATGTGGTTTCTTTAAATCTGTAGTTGTCAGACTTCCATTAAACTTGATTTCTGACAGTTCTGAATGATGATTGTTCTATAATTTAGTTGTAATTTTGATGTGGTTATGTGAGAAAGTAAGCTACATTTACCTACACCTTCATTTTGACCAGAAGTCCCCCAAACTTTTTTAACCACAACTCAAAATAAAAAATCTATGTTATATCATGAATTAGTATCTATATACATATCCATTCAGATAAACTGAAATAAGTTTCATGAAAAACTACTCACTCCTACTATGTACAATGTACTCTGATCCTCTAACCAATTACCTTAACATGCTTTTTCACTTTCAACTTACAAACTTACATTTTAGGTTAATTTTTTTATAAAAAACATATTGATTTTATTGTTTACTTATTAATATAGCAAAAATTAAATGCCCATGAGCCCACTTACCAACACAAAAACCAAAACATTACTAATAATTTATATCTATCTACATACTATCTTGAATTTGTGCCATCATTCCCTTGTTTTGGGGTGTTTTTTTTTTTTTGTTTTTTTGTTTTTACTTTTATCACAAACCTAAACATGCATATACTTAAAAATATTTTGGGGAGTTGTTCTTGCTTTTGGTTGTTTATTTTTATAAAAGAGCAGTTGCTTTTAAAAAATATGTAAATAGGACTCCTCCACTAGGATTCCTAATATTCTAATGAATGGATATACCACACGTGATGTAACTGTATTATGGGTGTTTTTGTTCTTCCTCTACAAAGCTGGTGCTATGGTCATTTTCCTAAATGCCTCCTCATACGTACATGTAAGAATTTCTCCTTTTTATATACATGTAAGAATGGAATTTCTTGATCATAAGATGGTCAAATGTTCAATGTTACAACACACAAAAGAAAATTGCCAAAGGCATTATAATAACAATTTATACTTTGATCAGCAATATATAAAAAATGATATTCTCTCCAACACAATAGCAATTTTATTGTTTGCCCTATGGGAAATTGAAAACCTTAGAGATGAATTCATTCATTCTCTCAACATTGCTCAGTGCCTGCTATGAGCCAACCTTGTGCCAGACAGTTCCTAGCACTTGAGAATTACCTCAAGGATCCCTGAGCCATCAGAGCACCCAACCTCAGTGTTCCCAGCCCTAAGCACGCCAATTAATAAATAGCTGGAATGACCTTAGCAGTCTCCACAATGCTAAATGCCCTTCTGGAGATCCCATCTACTCTCTCCAGGCCTGAAATAATGGACAAAAAAGATTGACTAGCATGACAGGAACCATGTGACTTTATTTTAAGCACATACAGCAAGGAGGAAATGGAGATTTGGGAAAGGGAGGGAAGAGCAAGAGTGCAAGAGAAGGGGAAGGTCTGGAGGTGGGGGCTGAGGGGCTTCCTTTTAGTGGGTTCAGGCAGCCCAGAATCTTCAACAGAATACATCTATATGTCAGATCCAAGATGGCAGAGGGCTAAGTAGAAGCTACACTAACCTCCTCCCAGGACCAATCTAGAATTACACATAAATTGTAGGGAAATCATCCTGAATAATAAACTGAACACTAGCTGGAGAGAAGCCTTATATTGAAGAACAGACAGAAGAAACCACTTCACTGCAATGAGACTGGTAGGGACTGCAGAGGAGGCACAAGAGG